ATACTAATAAAAAATAAAATAAGTGTTGGTTATGAAGGTCGCACCCCTCGCAAGAATCTTAAATCACACTACATCCACACTTCCTCTCATTCGAAATAGAAGAACGAACGAGAAGGAGAACAGGAAGACCGAGAAAGGAGGTTGTGTCCTTGCAGATGAAGGAAGAAGTACAAGGAAAAAGGAAAAGAAGAAACCATATGAGAAAAGAAGCAACTTTGGCGCAAGGAAGAAGAGGAGAAAGAAGAAGAAGAAAGGAGGAAAACACATGTGAGCGGCTTGAAACCGAACAGAGAGCCAAAGCTCATGCCCTACTCGTGAGGATTAATGTGTGTTAGGGCTTTCGAGCCATATAAGGAAGAAGAAGAAGAAGAGGTCGAAGAAGAAAGAAGCAACATCAAATGCTTAATTGGGCAGAGCCGCGATCGAGGCGGAAGCCACGACTTCTTACATTGTGTTGTGCAAAGGAGAAGAAAGGAAAGTCTCTGTTGTTGTGTTCGTGTGTGTTAGAGGGAGGTCAAAAGTTATATAAGTTATATTTAATATTTGTATAAGTTAATTAATATGTTATTACATAAATAAAAATTGAGAGTGTATATATATGTGTGTGAGAGTGATTAAAAATAATATTAATGCAAAGTTATATTAAAACATTAGGAATAAAAATTAATAATTTCATAATAGAAGGAGAAATCAAAGCGTGCCGAGAGTCTTATAAGGTAAATCTTCATATTTAAAAATTACTCCAAATGTTATATATATATAATATCTGTGAACTACGGGGTCGTCTGCTTCGTCGAGGCTCTGCTAGGGTTTCGCCTCACGGCGAAACCCTAGCCTCTACTACCTGTATTCCACGCAAGTAGAAGAAAGGGAGTACGGTCCTCTGTTCTGTCGTCTGTTTCATCGAGCTTCGCCTATGCTGTAGGGCCGATCGTGATCGTGTTGCGTCTGCTCGCTGTAGGGCCGATCGTGGTCGTTGTTTCTGCTGTTTTGACCAGTACACACCTTTCTTCCGTCCTACGCCTGTTTCTGCGGGTTCGACGACCCGACGCACGTCGTCATGCTGCATCGGATCAGACCGTCTGGTTTCTTGGGCTTTTGAATTTGCGGGCTGAAGGATCATTGTTATGGCGCTTCCTTCTTCTTCAGTTGATCCCGACAAACCTTCTTTAATCATGAGTCTTCTATTGTTCCGGTATGGATTAGTTTACCTGGTCTTAAGTTGCATTTCTTTAATCATCATGTTCTTTATTCTATTGGAATCATTCTTAGAGATCTTATGAAGCTAGATATACCCACCTTTAACCTAACCAGACCTCTGTGGTCAGAATACTTGTGGAAATAAATATTACCTTACCTAATATTACTGAAGTCTGGCTGAGCACAACTCACAAAGGATATCGACAACCAATTGTCATGGAATATAAACATTTTTATTGTACCCACTGTAAGATGTTTGGGCATACACTTGATAAATGTCATAGACTTCATCCAAACCATCATCCAAACTTGAAAGCTAAAGCTCAAGCAAACAAAGAGGGGTCTAACCCCATTGCTATGGACACATTTGCTCAATCTGTGAGGAAGTTCCCACAAGACAGGATTTGCCTATGAATCCCCCCTTGCCAACACCGCAGTTCCTGATGAAGAACATCATATTACAGATACAAATTCAAATTTGTTTATACCACCCACTGTTATTGAAGAAAGCCCACTTACATGTCAAGACACACGAGAATGCTCCCGCTCCCCTGATCCGATAAAAGATCAGCTTGTACAACAAGTAGTTGCTTCTAATGTTCAGCAACATACACATGTTCGACACACTTTAGACCAATCCACTAACCAAGCGAGTCAATCTTCGGATGAGGAATGACAATTCTATTCCAGGAGGAAGAAGAAGAATGGAGACAAACTCGTGCTCAGGAAATTATTGAATGATACATTGGTTACTACTGAAAATGACATTCATCTTACCAATTTATTAGCTGACTCCTTCACTAGAACTAGAGGCAGAGACAATACAAAATTGGGTCGCTCTTTAGTTACTTGATAATCCGGATTTTGACACTTTTTAGTTTTATTTTCTTCAGGTCTCTCATGTATTTTTTCGTATTTTCTCTTTTTGGAATCATTTGCATACGATGGAATCAAGTGGGCAGGGTGCCATGTTTGGGCCCTCTCACACAATCTATCTGTATCCTACTTTCTTTTTAATATATTAGTCATTAGGTTTTCCTAAACACACACACACACACACACAGATATATATATCAAAGCCCAAAAGGGCCACCATATTAACTAGAAAGAAAGATACAAATACAATGTGTTGGAGGACCCAAACATGACCCCCTGCCCACACCAAAACCAGAAGAAGTTCCAAAACTAGAATATACTGAAAATTACATTAGAGACAGAAAAATTGTAAAAATGCTGAGATACATAGTGTCAGGTGGCTAGAGAGCAACCCAATTTGGTTTTGTCTCTACCTCTGGTTCTAGGGGAGGGGCAAGCTAGAAGGAGCAAGCTAATAAGCTAATAAGTTGGTAAGATGATTGTCATTGCCATTAATAATCAATGTATCATCCAATATGTTCCCGAACTGGAGTCGGCCTCCATTCTTCTTCCTCCTGGAATAGACCAGTCATTCCTCTTCCGAAGATTGACTCATTGACTCACTTGATCTGACTCACTTGATCTTGGTTTAATGTGTGTTTGAGATGTACAGATTGTTGAACATTAGAAGCAACTACATGTTGTACCGGATGTTCTGTTATTGGATCAAAGAAGCACTCTCGTTTGTCTTGGCATGTAAGTGAGTCTCTTCAATAACAGTGGGTGGTATGAGCACAATTGGATATGTAGCTGTAGTATGTTGTTCTTCCTCAGGAACTGCGGTGTTGGGAAGAGGATCGGGTTGCATCTTCTCAACAGGGATAATAATTGGTTGTCCTTTAGTGATATTCGGCCTTAGATGGGGATGCAAACGATAACAAATACTGTTGTGGCCAAACATACTACAATGAGAGCAATAAGAATGATGTGGTTTCATTTCAATTTTTTGTTAATACCCCGTTGTGACTAGTGTCAATCCGTATCTCATCCGGAGCTGGTTGAGTGATATCTCTCTCAACTAACACACAAGCCACAGAGGGTTTAGTGACAGCAAGCGTAGGACTATCCACCTTGAGAGGCTTACCTTAAGCAGTTACTAAAGAGTAGAAAATTTTCATGCTAAACAGATATAATTTTAACCCCGGAAACTTTATCCAAACAGGAATGATAGGGGACTCCGCTTTTGGATCAAAACCGACAGTACAGTTCAGAATTTTCATAAACGATTGTCAAACTTGATAGCTTTTCGAGAAAAAATGCGAGTGTAATCAACATCATGAGATAGCTGAATAAGTATGTCTACCGTCAAGTAGGTCAATGTTCTAACTATCAAATAGTTTCATAGCATCAAACTCCTTCCTAATGATCTCCGGTTTTGGGTGACCATAAAGAAATTTTCCACTACAGAAAAACGTCAAGAGGACACGAGAGTACCGGTTTCAACCTCTATGAGAATAAGTGAAAGCTTCCCATTTTTTTTCCAAGCTTTTTAATAAAAGTGTGATCGCCTCCACCTTCAAGAGCCTCGTGGAAAGATAGCCTCGTGGAAAGATTCTGGAAGATTCTGGAACAATGCAGGACTTATCGATAGCAAAACCAGGCGCTGAACCTGGAGGAGGGGAACTAGCGCATCGAGGCCATCTCCCTCACAAGATGGTCACCGTCAGGACAGAAATAGTCTGGCGGGCCGCAAAGATGCGAACAAGATGCGAGAAGAAATCGTCTACCGGGCAAGAACAGCCGCATCCTTCTGCGAGACGTGCGAACAGGACGTCTGTCGAGCAGAGAGGCGCGTCGTCGTTTAGGAGACGACGTGCGAACAGTTCGTCGTCTTCGAGCTCCTGCAAGATGCGAGCAGAGAACGCAACTCGACGAAACAGCCGAGACACATTAGATTGGTGTGTGCAGCTCGACGAAACAGTCGAAGATGACGGAAAACGAAACGGAGCGAACTCCTTCAAGCATGAGATCACTGTGGCAGAGGCTATGCTTTAATAATTAAAGAATGAAATTAATTACAAAAAAATTACAAGAATCCATAGATTAATGAGCAGGTAGCAAGAATATTATGCTTTAAAAAGATGACAGCGCCAGAGATAAAGAAGGGGAAGGTCCTTGATGAGTGAGTGTCCCAAGCGGCGAACACTATTTAAGATGTAATTAAGATGTGTGGAAACATAAAAAATTTGAGATTGATTAGCGATGAAGCTAGAAAAATATATCAAAAAATGATAGGAGTAGCATCTGTTGGAGATAAGATCATATAGAGCAGATAAGATACAATAACAAGTTGTAAAATTCATGTGAAAGGACTTGAAGAAGGGGGCCAACTGAGATAATTTAGTTAGAAGTTTTATAAAAGGATATGAATAAAATAGAATTAACATGTAGCGCAAGCATTCCATAAAAATGTATAGTGAATGAGGAAAAAAAAATGTTACCCAAGATGAATATAAATGAAAGGAGGTTAAAACCTTATTCAATACAATAGAAACTAGCGGACAATTATAAATATCACCCAATCAAATGGACAAGGCAATTTATGTTGATGTGTTATATCAATGTGGAGCGCAACTCCAACAAACCAACTACTTTAATCACAAAAATGAAATTGTTAGGATGAAGTGATAATTCTTTGCACTACTAAATTACAACTAATGCAATCATATAGGTAATCCTAACTCCATTTTCTTTGTAATACAAAATATAATAAAAAGTAAAATGAAGCAGTGCATAAAAATTAATATAATTTAGTCGGCGCAGCATAATTTTGTCTTTTTATTTTCTTCCCGTTCACTGCACTATCAAAATGATGATATGGTCCACCTAGATAATCACGTTTAAAAGAATCGCTATATTTCCAAGATATCAATCCTAGCACATACCGAATTTGAATCCAGCCAAGTTGGTCTTCTCAAGCATGGAGCAACAGGTTTATCAATGCCATCCCTATTCCCACAAAAAGGAAAAAGCTAAATAGATAACTCCAACACAAAAAAGAAAATACTAAATATCATTTATATGAAAGCAATTCTATTAGCTGAACTTACAACCAAGGAGGAGGAGGGCAGTGCACGTGCGTCACATTTAAATTATTAAGGTTCAGAACTCCAGACCTGAAATTGGTTAAGGAGCAATATGTCTGAAATCTGCATCTGCTACATTTTTAAAGAGCATTTCAACAGAAGCCAAATATTACGATCTATGAGAAAATATGAGTGCATAAGAAAAAAGATATATCATAGCCGTCCTCTGAACTAGGCAGACTTTTGCCTTCTCAAAATCTCTTATTATTATTATTATTTCCATTAAAAAAGTCTTTACAAATACCAAGCTTTCTAGGAGGTTCTAGATAGGGCCACCTCTTAATCCAAGCACCAGACAAAGCGGTATCATACAAGGCCACGCATGGCCCATTGTTAGAGCAGCACAATTTGCCTATTGAATGCAAAAGAATGTTTGGTGCACAGAGCCATATGGCAATGTTGTGTAATTTGACCATTTATTACCAATAACTAACAATGTGTAGCTTATGGATCATGTTAAGCAGTAAACAAAGCAATTACCCCAAATTGGATAATATATCCAATTTGACCAAGAATCAACCAATTAGGGTGAACCAACCAGTTCCTACTCAACTGTTTTTTTGTTTCTTTTTTTAATTCCACAAGAAGCAACGAATCCAATCTTATAAGCGCACTCTCATCATTTGCATTTGATCTTCCGGATGGTGCAATCTGCTCCTCCCACATGTATATCAAATCCGTGCGTGTAACTAAACAATTTAATTAGGGATAAATCTTCTTTTCAACAAAATTCAAATAGTGTGGAGTCAACAATTACGTTATATCAGAATAAGAGATTAAACTTTAGGTCATGATTAAGCTACTGATTCAATTGGATTTTTGTCCAAATTAAGTAAAAAAACAAGATTTTACCACACAGGAAGAAATAATAAATTTCCAAAAAATCAAGGTATTAACAAAGATAACCAATCCAGTATGAAAGACAGCATGTCGTTTCCTTTCATTAACCAAAATATAATGATAAATGAAAAACAAAGCAGAAATTAAAACTATAACTAAATGGCTTGAGCAATGACATGAATTTAATAAAACTTTTATTCAAGGGACGTTGAAAGGGAGAAACATTCATGACATACCAGCCATCATCAAGGTGGAAAGCTAACTGGTAAGAGCAGGAAGGATCCAATTTGATGGAGTGAATTTCTTTTGGTAATATATTTGATTGTTCCTGAAAGAAGACATAATTTTAGATGAACTTCTGAATTCTATAATCCATCTAACAGAAAAAGCTGGATACTGAAACTCCTCCGCATGCATTATTTTTTTATGAAACTTGTTACATGCAAAGTGCTTGTGAAAGCATATAATTCAACCTCTTCCTATCTCATTGATGCATACCTGCCTGCAAAGATTAATAAATACTTTTGTATACCCTTTTCCATATCATTATCAACTTAAACGAATCAAAGATAGGAAGCAGCTGACGATGCAGCATACAGCTTTCCTTTCAGTAAAAAGCTTAGCACATCAAGGGGTCCTTAAACATATAATGTTCGTAACAAACACACCATCAAAGTTTTATGAGGTTAATCTTTATAATCAAAGCTCAATCAGATTTTCAAGATTTTTTTTTATGTGAGTCTTCAAGACTTCCAGAGGATGAAAGTTCCCAAAATTACCTACCATGCCATGTCAAAGGAGCACTCTCAATTAAGGAATATACCAGGTAGGCTCCAATCAGAAGAGTCAAAGAATCTTGGTTGTAACATTATAGCTTAAGTCAAGGAGTTGCATATTGTAACTACTAGCATGTGGTTAACAAGCTTGTTGTGATTATTAGCTTTATGTCATTGAGTTTTGCTTTGGACGTTGGGTACTACATTACATAGGTTACATAATCTTTGTTCACCTAACGAACAAGTGTTGATGGAAAAATCTAGTTAACGTTCTGAACACTAATTAACAGCATTCAAAAGTATTCCGCTGAGGACTTTGGAATATAAACCCAGGAACTCTTATGCCAGGAGAATGAGCATTTAGTTATGACCATTGGTTTGACAGACATATGTCGTTAATCATAAGCAGAAGCCAACTAGTTGTTGCCAATTTGAGTGGCAATGGAAGAAGGAGATTCCTATTCATTATAAGACCTTTCTAACCACCTAAATTGGGTATAAGAAACCCTCTTCAATGTTTTGATAGGTTACATATAAGAAACCTAATGGATAGCTGTGGACGTTCGGCGCTATGTTAGATAGGTTACATTATCTTTGGTCGCTTAACGAACAAATGTTAGTGAAAGAATCTAGTTAATATTCTCGATAGGAGAAGATAATCAAAATTTTCATGAACACTTATAAAGAGCATTGAAAAGTATTCCGCTTAAAACTTTGAGAAGATAAACCTAGGAATTCTCATGCCAGAAGAATGAGCAGCGAGTTATGACCATTGGTTTAACAGATGTAGGTGGTTGACCAGTGGTGGAAACCTAATGGACAGCTATGAAAGTTGTTCGCCATTCTCTGGCCCGCCTTGTGAGACAGCGACAATAGAAGAACTGCAAAGTAGAGTCCCCAACAACAACAAAGGGCTTGCAAAACACATGGGAGTAAAGATGAATGTGCTCTAATTACCACCTACAGTTTATAAACTTAAGAAAGGATTTCACCGTGGTAGGCAGGAGTAAGGCAACCACAAAGAAGATCTCTGACTCCCGAAGCTGACTGTGAAGAGATCCAAGCACAAGATTGCCAAATTATGAACCCAACAAACTTGCAAACCTTGGGGAATTCAAAGTGAACATTAAACAGACATTAAAAGCTGGCAGCCTCGTCTATCTTCTCAGTCAAAGCTGCACATAGACCGTGAGAAAATAGAGAGGATCAGGGTTGGTTGATCTTTATTGTTTTATTTCCACAAATCGAAGGTGAGAAGCCTACGTTCTCCATTCCTCCTAAATAAAAGCGGAAAAAACTTTAAGAGGAAAAAGTTGACAACAAGCAACTGAATGGAAGATATCAATGAAACGAGGGTCAACATCCAAGCCGGTGAATGGAAACATCACAAAGGATGTTCAGAAGTGAATTTAGTGTGATTCACCCTTTCAACAAACAGGTGCGCAAGAGGCGGACATTCACACCACCCAATCATCGAAAAGCGAGATGATCATAAAAAGAATACACCAATAAAGTTGCCAACTAAAGAGTCAACAGAGAAATGAAAGACTAGTAAAGGTCAACATGTAACGTCCCGTTACCCAGGGAAGATGAATCGAACAGTTGAGGAGGAGAGAAGGCTAAGTGAACAGTTAGGCAATTAAAGGGCTGAAGAATAGGAAATGAAAAGATCGGGAAGTCAAAGAGGGGAGGGAAGAAGCGATAAGGTTGGGAACCAAATATACGAGTTCGTACTACAAATTGAGACAAGATGCGGGTGCTCTAGATGTGCGATCAATGAGCAGAGGAAGGAGTAGTGTGTCCTCTTACCGAAGAAGAGGCGCAGCGGTCGAAAAGATCACATCAATTTAGTCATTGAGCTGCCACCTCAAAGTTGTGTGAAGGCAGAAGGGACAACGACGAGCTCATGGAGGAAGAAGCATGGCGTCAAAAGGAGGAAGCAACCGGTTAAGCTCGCGAGTTGGAAAAATTAATACGTCCGGACACTGTATGCAAATTTGTGTTCGGTGTCCAATTAAAAAAAGACATGTGTTAGAGTGGGTCCCACTCTTTTAAAAAACAAAAAAAAACTATGCATTGCAGTGGGACCCAAATTTCTACATGGCCAATTTTAATTGGACATTGTTGACCTTATTTTTGAGGTCATTACTCTTTC